CACAACTACATTGGGGAATGGGACCACTGAATAAATTCTCCTATAGGAAAATTTTCATCTAACCAACCAGAAAACAAACAACTATATTCAAATCCTTCAGGAATTTAATTCAGACTGCTTAATGATAGAGCCAAGGAAGCCAAAGAAAAGAGTGTATTTAGTTGTTACAGTAAGTGAATCAAGAATAAAAAATATTGAGTTCATTGAACAGCCCACTGAATAGACTTGAATAAACAGCTTGACCTTTGGAAGTCTGAGAGCTTCAATTTATCTGCTCTCTAAATACACTTACAATAAAAATGCCATTAGAAGTATGCTGTGAGGATTAATGTCAGTGAAGACTGTGAGATCCATGGATAAGAGATGAAAAGGAACTCTAAATACCATAACTACAAATTAATTAAAATTTAATGTTCCTTAAAAATTACATAGCTATCTGGGATAGATTCATAGATGATATGCTAACATCATTTTTTATTTATTTTATGTTTTGAAGTTTTAAAAATAATAAATTCTAGAAAATACTTGAAAAATCCATGAAGAAGATCTTCTGATATTTGTCTTTTGCTTTGGAAACAATCCCTATGACTCTGGGGTCTCAAAAATATTCTAGCTTGCTTAGACAAAATAATTGGTTTTTAATCCTAAAAATCTTTATTATTATTTTCATAGTAACAAACAGACAAGGGTGTTAACTGCACCAATTAGACTTTTAATGCACCCTGTCTCTGTCCCCAGATCTCCTCTTCAGTTGTATTTGCCCAGTGCTGGTCATTGATTGCTATTCAAGTAAATTGTCATTATGATGATTTGTTTTTATGGGTGCCAATTAATGTGAAAATGTGGAAAGAATAGAAAAATATAGGGTTCTAATACCACCTAATAAAAGTTGAGATTTTTAAAAGTTCTGATACACATATATATACAAAAATCGATTATGTTCAGCTAGCCAGCATATAGTACATCATTAGTTTCTGATGTAGTGTTCAATGATTCATTAGTTGTGTATAATACCCAGTGCTCATCACATCACATACCCTCCTTAATACCCATTAACCCCGGTTACCAAAAACTATAGACAGCAATTAATTTTGTCAAAAGGACAAAAGTTAAAAAGATAGTTTAAAAGATGGTTCTACCACAAAATTATTTTTAAAAGCTCCCACTTCTCCAGTATATCTGAGGAGTAGGGTTTAATTGTCAAATATTCAGATATACATCGCTTCATGTATGCATGTGTGTGTGTGTGAGAAAGAGACAGACAGACAGACAGAGAGGGAAAATGAATAATGGAGCACAAACAAAATGGTAATTATACCTTTAGATCAGTCTAAAGGTATAATTACATCTATTCTTTTTTTTTTAGATTTTTATTTATTTATTTATTAGAGAGAGAGAGAAACAGCACGAGAGGGGAGAGGGTCAGAGGGAGAAGCAGGCTCCCCGCTGAGCCGGGAGCCCAAGTTGGGACTCGATCCCAGGACTCTGGGATCATGACCTGAGCCGAAGGCAGTCGCTTAACCAACTGAGCCACCCAGGCGCCCTAGACTGACAGGATCTATTCTTGAGAATTACAAAATTTTGTGTCCAATAAAATTAGCTAGGGAAGAAGAGGACAACATTTCATATTTTTAGGTAAGACGTAGTATTAAATCTACCCTAACTGCTTTGGCTGCTGGCAACAAATCTAAATTATGGAAACAACAGCTTTCAGAATTGGGAACAGAGAATGCTAGAAGCTGGTTGAATCAAAAATGAGACACAGGTGACTTTATCTCTTGGAGACTTAGAAATAAATTAGTACAGCCCTTGGTCTCATTTCACAAATGAAACTGCCTTGAGCCCAGACAGGAAAAGGGTCTTTCAAAGGCTGCACATGAGGTGGAAGAAAACAGAGCATCCTGACTCCAGGACAGCACTCCTGGGCGTGTGAGTAGGGAAAAAGCCAGAGCACAGAGAAACATTTTACCTTCCTGTGTAATTTTGCATATGCATATTCTTCCTATCATGATTCAGCTGGCTTCTCATCCCTGCTTGAGGGTAAACCTAGGGCTCATTTGCTGAAACTCCTACAGTGTGATACTATTTCTACAGGTATGTGATAACATGTATTGAGCATCTGTAGTATTATCTTCACTTTAGAGACATCGTCTAGTTAATACTGCAAGGTCTGTATTTGTATTTTGCACCTAAGCTTTAGAAACATTATATAACTTGCCCAAATGAGAACTAGGATCTGACCCATTCATTCTGACTACAGAGTCCACACTTTTTCCTCCATACCGGTATACACTGCCTTCCACATTTCACAGAAAATGCTCAGGAGCCCTTTGTAGATTGTGATGCCAGAAAAAGCTAGATTGGGGTTTAATGCCATGTTACTGCTTATGTAAGTCCTTTCTCCTAATACAATCTGAATCACTGAAAGACCATTACAAAATAAGAAATATTCAGATTAGCAGTCAAGGTGATCCGTATTTGAAGGAAAATAGTGTAAAAAAAAATGTCACTACCAAGTTTATTGGTCAAAGCCAATCACCAATTTTGTCAATCTGAATGGATGGAAAACAAAATACTTTTTAAAAATATTTTTCTTCCTTTTTTGTAAGAGAAAAATCTTTGTATTTTCTAGTTGTTATTTGTTGTATTTCTGACGGCTTAGAAATCATATTCTTCCTTAACCATTATTTGAAAAATATTTTCTAAACCACAAAAGTACTTCTCTGGAAAAGTGAAATTGTAATGTAGAAAAAATGTTTTCTTAAGACAGCTTGAGGACATTTAGGTGCTTTAAAAAATTATGTCATTGTAAGCTCTTTTCTTAGAAAAACAAATTGTAGAGATCCAAAACATATTTCATATGCTTAAGTACAGAATTATTACTCCATTTCCAGCTTTGTTTTTACTGTCTAAATGACCTGCTGTTTTGGTGAAGGACTCATGGTTTTGCACTTTATTTTCCTAAAGATGATATAGCAAATATTACAAAAGTTAGATAATCACTAGTGTTAACAGAAATTTCATCCACAAAGTTTTAGGTTAAATTCTATGGAGTAGGAAAAACAATTGTAAACTATATTTTGCTAATACTTTCATAAAAGTGTGAAATTATTTACCTTCCCTAGGTCCTATAGAAAACCCTTTAAAATGCCACAAAGATGTATAACAAGACATAAAACCACAAATATGAACTATTTTCTTGAAATATAATTTAAACTTGGTGACTAGGACAAGAAAATGTCACATTCCTTTCTCTTGCTAAGGAAATTGCATATTTCCTTTGCAAAAATAAAGAATATGCAGTTTTCATAAACATGTATGTGACAGTTTTAAAGTTGTTTTGTTTCAGGTTAAAGGTTTCTATAAATTTTCATGATTGTCCCAAAGTTGAAAAAAGAAAAGAAGCAAAGAAGACAGAGCAAAACATTAACCTTAAGGGTATAAGCTTTGTTCTTCACCAATGTTAAAAACATTTCTCTTATATCAGTATCTGTCTTCTCCAAATATTATCTTGACTTACATAACTTTAAAACCATCTTAGAATGAATATACTTCCAAATTTTTATGTATCCCTCCATGATCTGAAATATTCTAAATAGAAAGTTAATCTTTGCTCTTTACCAGGATTTGTGAAGCAAACAGATATGTATTTTATTAAGTGGCAAATAAAGCAGTGAGCTGGGCAGTTCATTCCGATGGAGTGCGCAGTGGTTGGTTTGTGGATTAGCGGATACCATAAGCCTTAGTTGAGGACATCAATTTCACTGGGAATTGAGTAATCGTGGAAGCAGAGGGCCTTGTTTAAGATACAGATCAATGAAGGAAATGTTTCATTGTAACACCACTGTCATAAAGGCTTTATGTCTACTTACCATTTAATCCTCACATTGACGCTAGTAGGTAGAAACTGTTTTTGTCTTCCTTTTACATATGAAGAGACTGAGGCCAGAGAATTCAAGGACTTTGCCAAAATTCATGTGGCCTATAAGTGGCAGACTCATGCTTTTTGCTAGCCACTGTAGCTTTTAAATAGTGATTGTTAGTATCTTATTGAAGAAGAAAAGATGGACAAGATGGGAAAGGTCAATAGGAGGTCTCTTCTGTCTGTAAATATTAGGCTCCTTATGATTTCAAAATTTAATCCAGAGTGCACAGATTTAAAAAATTTTCTGTTGAACACAAGCTGATGGGTCACAAGATTTTATAGGGCTAGTCCAAATACTCTAAGGGAGACAAGAAAGTCCCTAGCTCAGCTTCCTGGCTCCTGGTAGACTGGCTTTGTTGGCTGCCCCTATGGTTTTCCTGGTCTCTGTAGAGGTTCCAGATTGAAAAGCCAGTCAGCACTGTTGGGGAGCACAGAAAAGCAGACCCACTTGTGGGATGATGCTAGATGCTTTGCCCAGCCAGTAAGTATGTTGCAAGAATAGATGTAACCACACATATAGATATGTCTGGTTGTGGGGTTTTCTTATGTTATTTCACCCCTCATTATTAACAGTACAGTAAAAGTGTACTACCAGAGCTTGGCGAGTCTATTTAAACCCTAATTTTTCTTAACAGTAAAAAGAGCTTGCTCCTAAATTCAGAATATTCCAATAGGTTCCCTCTGTAAGAATTTTTGTTAATGAAAGAAATAACACATGTTATTTTTGCCATGACAAGAATAAACTGGAGTATATTTTGTTTATCACAATTAATGTTAAACACAAAATTTTTCCTATTCTATGTATATTTATTTTATATGTATATATTTATAAGAAAGATATAGTTGTATCTCCTACAAAACTTATCAAAATAGAATGGAAAATTTTCTAAGAGTTTCTATTTAATACATCATTAAAAATTAAATTAGTTTGATCTTTTGCACCATAATTTCCCTGCATTTCAAAAGTATATGTAGTGCTTTTATAAGTATATAAGCTTTTTATTAACATTACTGACTAGAATAATTTTGTGATTTTAATCCCTTTAAATGATCAAAACTATTCTATAGAACTTACCTTTTGACCATTCACCCCTGGAATTCCAGGTACTCCAACAGAACCCTAAGAAGACACATGATTAATTTAAGCATAGAATCACAAAATATTTCAATTCTGTTTGTATTGTATTAATTATGTCAGCCATAACCTTACCTTGCTAAAACATGTGTGAAGGGCTAAGCTTTTCAGATCTTATCCATGGTATTCAGATATATAATAATGTAAGCAGATTCATCAAGCATTCTCAGAAACTACGGAGTTAAATTTAACCATGTTTCTAAATATCCACTTATCCCTAATATGATTTTAAAGAAATTCACATCATAAATTGGGATCCACAGCTATCAGAAGGCCACATGGCTCTAAATTTTGGTGCTTTTAAGAAATAAACAGGCTTAGTTCCATCTGGAAAAGCCTAGCAGTAGCAGTAACTCTTGCATTTCAGGAGTTTAAATACCATAAAACAAAAGGTAATTAAAATAACAACCACTTGTTCCACAATTAGTCAAATAAGGCACTCAAATTTGTTGTGTTTGAAGCATTTTCCTCTGGACTTTCAAGGAATACATTTAAGCCAAATGAATATGAATATGTCTTCCTAGACTAGAAAAGGTGTTACAAATGTCAAACACTGACTAGGAATAACACAACAGCACCTCAAATATTAAGTTAAGAGAGAGAGAGAGAGAGAGAGAGAGAGAGAGAGTGTGTGTGTGTGTGTGTGTGTGTGTGTGTGTGTGTAGACATGTGTGCATATCTGCACTGGGGTGATTACGAACGTTTGGACGTAGGTGGGGTGAACTGAGAATAAGAAAGCTAATTATCACCTGAGAAAATCTATGACATTTACCTGGATATAGAACATTAACAAATGTTTTCGGATCGTGATGTCACTTCCCCTTTCAGGCTCTGGAGAAACCATTTTTAAATAAAATGTGTTTATTCTTTGTCTAGCCCTAGAAAATAGATTTTTCTAAGTTGATGTATGATATTAAGTTTCTTTAATAATAATGGGAAAAAGTTTTTTTTAAAGAGTAAATATAAACCTAAAACTGCTCTAAAAGAGAAAGTTTATTAAAAATATAGTCACTAAAAAATCTATAGTCATTATATGCAAAACAAATTGAGATGGCAAGTTCCTTAGTGCTTTTGGTAATTATATTGAGTGGGTCATTAAAAGACTTCCTGAAGCCTCAGGCAGTAATTTGAGCCTGGTTGCATGTGGATTAGGGTAGCTTTACAATTTCACACCATGCTTAATAGAGACATTATTGCTAAGGACAAAGTGTTCTTATACACAAGTTGTCTCACAACTCATTGGCTTTGGACTTGGTTTGTAGGATTATGTTTCAACAGATGCCACATGCCCAGTGCTTGGGGGATAAAAAGTCTCTATCTTTGATGGATTCCAAAGATAAAGAATAATCACTTTTCCACCTGTTGTAATACAATTGTTTTCTTTAGTTTTCTGCAGGTTAAATATTGCTTTTTCCCCATTGTGCGGTGGGAATTGTAACAGGGAATGGGGTCTTAGCAATATTTTGTTGGCAAAGGGCCACCTACCTACTATTGATATATTTACTACTGTTATTGATGTAATTTTAGAAGCGCTAGACCCTCTCCATCAGAATGTAATGGTGAATTCTGATGACTGAGAAATGACAATCAGGAAGTCACTTTCTAGATTACCTCAGCAAAGGAAAACACTAATGGACCAATGGAATAGTCACCAAACAACAAGTACATCTTTTGTTCTGGTCCGTTCTACGATCATTTGGTCATAATACTTGAGCAGGACCATGCACTCAGTCTGCAATGTCATATGACCTTTCAAATTCTAAGTTTTGTCACAATGTTTTGCCAGTATTTTTTTTTGCCAGTATTTTAATTAAAAATTCAATAACCTAAAGTTCGACAGACAGCTTAAAAAGAGTTTACTCTGGATTTATTGGATTTTCTATAATGGAGTTGATTAGAAATCTAATGGCTCACATTAAATGACTGTATTTTTAGAAAGGAGAATGCACAATCCAGATGCTTCAGTATGGCTTACAGTAGCTAATTCTATTCACCTCTCATGCTAGCCATTAGGCAATGCAAGTATAATTACTTCCCCAGTACCGTTTATACTCTACCTTTTGTCCTGGAGGCCCCAGAGGACCCTAAAAATAGAAAAATTATTCAATTAACATAATAATGTAACCATTTAAACTTAAACGGCCAATTAAAACTGTCCTAGTCTGCAAGGTTCTCTATGCTGTGCAGAAATATGCTGATGTTTTGTACGTCAAGGAAAACGGAAATTACTGGTTGGAAGTACACAATAGGTCTTTTCTTCTCTCGTTTTCTTTTGAAGAACATTAAGCATATGCAGTAAGATTCTGATTTTTCCTTTAAAAAAAGAATCTTTGCTGTTCCAGTGCATCTGTTTCTTCAAATACCTGTACATCTATCACCTCAATCTCATTTAGAAGGCTGGAGATGTTACTGCTAGAAGCAGTGAAAATGCAGGGCAGTTCCTCAGCAAGTGCACATTATGTGACTTCTGCATCTGCAAAACTTCAGGAAGCAGATTTGCAAAGGGAATCATTGAATAGCATTACAAAGAAACATGTTTTGTCCTATTCTTCCTCTTAAGAAATGTGGCACAAAAACTTGTTTACAAACTAGGGGATGCCAAGGTCAACTGTGGCACCTAGGGTGTACCAGAAAAGGAAACAAAAGATGCTGTCAGCTGTCGATAACCTATGATACTGGGCGCGTGGGGGAACAGAATATTTAGGAAGATGGATGGGAATATTTACATATAAAATGGAAATACGGTAGTTCTGAGATTTAGCTGTTTTTCAACCATAAAGTCAGCATTGGGATTCTGTTGGCTTTATGTATAATTAGGCGAAGCTTTGGGATGGTGGAAAAGAGCACGAAGACATCCAATTATAATTCTGACTATTTATGTCTATTTTTACATAAAATATTGAGCATTTTTCTTCTAATTCTTTTACAAATACTTTTAATTTTAGTATATTTTAACAAAGTTATACTTTATAAATGATAGTAAATGATAGTTTACTCTATCACTTCATGTTAACTACCTCTGTATTCCATTACACCTAATGAACGGCTAGCCTATTTTTAATGTGTGACATTTCAGTTAATCAGCATCTTAATTCATACTCTGTACCATTAAAGAAAGCACTAGAGTGCACATTAGAGGGAGAATTAGTCATGCATAATTCTTTTATTAAAACTACACCATGTTTAGGAACATTCAGAGAATCTGTTCCTCATAAATTATTTTGTAATCCTCACAGGAAGACTAAGAATTTCCTCATAAAATCAGCTTTAGGTTATTGAAAGCGCACTGTGCAATATCACCTTTCTATATTCCTTGTTTATTTACTCAACCAACTAACTTCTTAATGTGCTGGTTATCTGGTATATCTGTGCAGTCAGACAGCCTCCCTCCCCATTTCACCCCTTCTATTTAAAATTCTCCGTTTTAGATTTTGCAGAGAAAATAGAGGACATCAGGTGTAAATTCCCTCAACATTATGTCTCTCATCAATCCAAACCCACAGGGACCTCCTTCCTATGTCAGAGGGAGAAGAGGCACCCCACCTCTGCAGGCAGATGCATCCAGTAGACTCTGGAATCCATCCTTGTGTCTGTCCTCGGGGATCTTTCTCCATCAATTATCCCTGCATCTGTATCAGAGCCTCCTGCTTTCCACTAGTTCCTTCCCCTTAGCACATAAACAGGTTTAATCATCTCTCACTTGGGTAAATTGTTTGGGAAGTGAATGCTAATGTTAAGTAAAGGCAGAATTTGGAAGTTGTAGCGATGGGGAGCTGAGAGTCGAAGAAGACTTGGGTTTTATCATGGTCTATGATTCCATTTGTCCCAGCGTCTCCAGGGCATTTCACTTTTTAAAATGTTGATGTTAGAAAGGAAATCATATAACAAAAAGCACATTAATTCAATGTTTAGACTGAGAATGGATATGTTCAATTCAAAAAGGTTTGTTTCCATTTAAACCTAACTTTGCCACTTGAAAAAAGATTGTGCAGTACAGTTGAGTTTTTCACTACATTGATGGATAACCCAGGAAGGGAATATTTCATAGAAAAATCAGAGCAAATTCGAAATCAAGTGTTTTAACTAGAGACTGATTTTTCTGTATTTTCTAATTTGGTCTCTGTTGCATGACCACATTAAAGATTTAGAAAGACTACCCAGAACTGTGAAATCTACAAAATTATATTGTCTATTTTAACACAATATTTCATGAAAATCAAAAGATAGCTATAGAGAAAATAAATACAAAATTTTTCTTCACGGTTAAGAAACTACTTCTATTTTTGCTAAACTCTAAAAATAAAAGCAGTTTTAAAGATGTAATATTAACTTTGAATTGTGAATACATGTCTTGTGGATTATTCATAACTAAGTTGCCAAGGATATAGTCTCAACTACCAAAAATGTGCATATAAGTCCTTTGATCTCACTGGCGGGAAAAATGGTAGCAAGCCAAGGATAGTGTCATCTGTTACTAGCAGGGGAGTGGGAAAAGACCGAAGTTGGATATAAGGCACAGACATACATTCGAGTAAATATAGACACACGCGCACACACACACACACACGCACACACACAACCCAAATAGTTATTTTGCTGATCAAAATTTTGCTTATATGTGTTTTGCGTGTCCTTAGATTAATAAAACCATTATATACCTATGACACTGTGGTCATTAAATTTAAGTTTACAAATAAAAGCTTCACTGCTCAAAAATTTATTTTACGGTCTCCTGGGTGGCTCAGTCGGTTAAGCATCCACCTTCAGCTCAGGTCATGACCCCAGGGTCCTGGGATCCAGCCCTGCGTTGGGCTTCCTGCTCAGCGGGGAGCCTAGTTCTCCCTCTGCAACTCCCCCTGCTTGTGTTCTCTCTCTTTCTCTCTAGCAAATATATAAATAAAACCTTTAAAAAAAATTGATTTTGAAGTTAAAGTATGTTGCTACTAGTTGGTTAAGATGTTTACATTTGACTAGTTTTGTGGCTTCTAGAACAAATATAAATTAATAAAGTAACGGGCAAATGCCACACAACCATTCACTAACCTATCTAATCCTCTTAAATTTATTTATATTTTCAGCCTGCTCAAAAGTCATTACGAATAATGACTCAGATGAACAATGTCATAAGTTCATTACTCACTAGTCAAATTATTCCTTTTATTATTCCTAAAATTAAAGCCAATTGTTCTAGTGTTTTAAGATTTCTAAAATAATTCCATTATTATTGTCTCCGTGAGTTAAGTTTGGATCAAATATTTTTCCAGACTAGAGAGTCAATTTTTCATTCCATTTTTATTAATCAATAAATTATTCCTTTTTAGATATTTTCTTGGTGAGCACCGTTATGTTTGCATATACTTTATAGAGGCTCAATTTAAATGGGAACAATCTGGTCTCTTCATTTTTCAAAATAATTTCTGTGTATATGTCTCAAGATTAAAAACTGTGCACCATATATAATCTCATCATATTAAACTGTATTTCTTTAAGTTTACCTCCAGAAATGTAAACTATAATTTAAACCTTAAAATATACTTATTTTGGTACAGGTTCTAGGTGATGTATTCAAAAGATAAAAACCAAATGAGCCATTGAAAAATTCCAAGTGCAGAGTAATAACATCACTCGTCTGCAGACAAATTTTAAAACCAAAGTTTTTGTGATCTTTTTGGAAGAGGCCATGGAGGGCTATGCAATGTTAAAACTTATAAACAAGAAAGATATTACACAGCGCCCTTGATTTTCTTTCCTGTTTACCTTCACCCCTGCTAGATTCCATTTTTAAAAACTGTAAAATATGTGGACTATGGTGAGCAAGTAAGTCAGAGAAATATGAATGTCCTACTTGGTGATTCCCTTCACCAAAAAGTGCGTGACTCATGGCTTGGGAGTGATCCTTTACCCCTTCCTGCTCAAGTCTATCAGATTATTACTCAAGAATCTCTCCAGCCTGCCCTCTTCATCACCTGCATCACTATGCCCTTGTTCAAACCCTCTTCTCTCCCAGCTAGCTGATGGGCATCCACCTGAGGGCCGTTCTACCTTTAGTCTCCTTCCATCCCTCTACACAGTGCTGCCTGAGTCAGCTTTCTAGAAGGCTAATGGGTTCATATCTTTCTTCTACTGAAAAATTCAATGGCTTTCCATAGCTTTTGAGAAAAGCAGGAACTTTTGTAAGATTTGTAGTTCATCACAGGAGGCGTGCTTTTGCGTCTCTGCACCACTGTACCTCTGGCTGGCTATTCCTGCAACTTCTCTTTGGTCCTCTCTCCTCTACCCATTCCATCACTTAGAGCTCAGTGCCCCCACCTGTGGGCCTGGTCCCCTTCTTTTGTTCTTCAAAGCGCCCCTATGACAGCACTTCTTTCATAAAATTTACCAACAGTACTGTAATAGTCTGGTTACTTCTTTCTTCACACCAAATGTCTTTTGTCATGCACAATAGCTGGCATATGGTAATTGTCCAGTGACTCCTTTTGCATGCATTCATTAACTCATCCACTTAGTAGTTTTCTAGTACCCACTGAGTGTCAGGCAATGTTCTTGGTGCTGAGGAAACAGCAGTGAACAAAATAAGCAAAAATGCATGCCCTCCTAGACTTCACATTCTAACAAATGGAGAAAGACAGTAAGCAAATAAATGAGTAGCATCAAAGTGTGTCAGGTGGTAAGTGCTGAAGCAAACGGGAATAAGGATTGGGAGAAGTAGATGTGGTAGTATTTTAAAGTGGGGGTGGTGGGGAGGTCAGTGAAGGCCTCAGTGATAAAGTGACTCTTGGACAGAGCCCGAAAGAGATCAGGCAGAGGCATGCATATAAAAGGAAGAAGAATGTTCCAGGCAAGGGAACAGCAAGTACAAAGGTCAAGAGGTGGGCACATGCTAATTGTGTTTAAGGAACACCAAAGAGGCTATAGGTAGGAAGTTGAAGGTGGGGATATGGACCAGGAAGGGTGACTGTATTTGTATGGACTTATAGATTTTTGTAAGCACAATAGTGCTTACTTTGAGGATAATAAAAATTATAGGAATACATATAAATAAATCAAGTTCTTGTACCGTAGACAACAGTGTCTCAAGATGGGA